GCATATATTGCTCATTTTTTCTGAAGCCTGAATGGGAAATGTGTTTTTAACAGATTTAATCAATACACCAACCTACATTAAAAAAAATAAACCCACACAATAAACAAAAAGCAAAAGACCAATCAATAGCCAATGATGTGGCTTAACAGGCACTCCAGCAGAAAACTGTCTGAAAAGGAGCTTCACACTCCACTGTCTGCACGATCCACAGCTGCTTGCTATTGATTTGTTGCAGGCAAAGAACATCTATTATTACATGCCAGTGTGAACCTAGCAATTTCTCCAACAAGTAGCCCGCAATGTAGGACTAGTGATGTAACGCAGGTCGCTGGCTGCTGAGGATGGGCTGAGGACCCACATTTATTTCCTTCTGTTCTTCCCACAAAGCCATTATAAACACCTGGTATCTAATTCCAGCGACTTGTTGTGTTTTAAGCACTCACGTGCCACACACTGTTCCACATTCAATTCTTTAGGGCACAGAAGCAATAATGAGACCCCCAAAATTGTACACAACTCAAAACAATTGTCAAAACACGCTCAAAGGTAACTATGGTGGTTAAGGACTGATGTAAGGTATTTAAAATCGCTATTTTCACAAAGTCCCCAGAAATGACAATGCTTTTGTGTATGTGTGGGTACGTGCAAGTGAGTTGGATTTTGTGCAACATTGTGAGGTGTTGTGGAGAGAGGAACTCAACAATAGGCCGCCCTCCCCACATCACAGGAAAGGGATTCTGGGTTTGCCTGATGGCGTGATGACTACAACATATTGAAATCTCTCAGGCTCTCGGTCCTGATTTTAAATACCAGTAGGAACCCAATATCCAAAAAGAATATCCCTATGAGAAACTTTGTAAGGTTCCCTTTCTTTTGTTGTTCTTAAAATGTAGCCCCATCATTAAGTTGGCACTCGGGTGGTATGCACCATCTGAGAAGTAAGCCCTCTCTGTTTAGAATTTTTCAGAAGGGGCGCCTGGGTGGCTCAGTCGTTAAGCGTCTGCCTTCGGCTCGGGTCATGATCCCAGGGTCCTGGGATCGAGTCCCATGTCGGGCTCCCTGCTCGGCGGGAAGCCTGCTTCTTCCTCTCCCACTCCCCCTGCTTGTGTTCCTGCTCTCACTGTCTCTCTCTCTGTCAAATAAATAAAATAAAAATCTTTAAAAAAAAAAAAGAATTTTTCAGAAGAACTGAAGATTTTCTTTGGAGAATGTTACTGGTGTGTCCTTCCATAGATCTTACTGGATTCTACATGAACTCAAAATTACTTCTGGGATGACTTTGTTCATTAGAGTTTCAAAACAGCCCTAAAAGTCACCTAAAGGAAACTCCCTGTGAATCTGCTACTCCGTGAAATGGTAGATCTTATCTTAAAACTACATAAGACAATTAGTAAATCAATTATACCTGGGCTTCCAATCAGACGACTTTTGTTTTTCCTCCAATACAAGTGAGTCATTCTTACACAAGATAACCAGCCACGGAGAATACATGCCACACCTTCACAATCACTGTATCAGCTTTGCATGGCTATCTTTATAAGACTAAACCTGAAATTCACCCCACTGCCTCCATCAATCCACCATGCGCTCATAGAAAATGATGGAATAAAGTTAAACCCACCCATGCTTGGTCTACTCATACTAAATGAGATATAGTTTCTAAACATAAACTCTACTCATGGAGGTGATATCTATGGGACAGTGCCTCAAAATCATCAAGCCAACACCCAACTGGGCAAACAGGCAAGAAAAATCAAAGGTCATGAATGAAAGAACCAATGCTAGGAAAAATGTGGAGACCCCTAAAAATGCAACATTTTTTTAGAAACTTGCAAATCATGCCCAGATATAAGTAACTTTTCTATACATGATGAACTGAACCAAAACCTTTATTTTGAAAAATATCAAAACCTAGCACTTTCCTATTAAACGAGTTTCTATTCTTGGATGTGCAGTAAGAAATTGTGATTTTTTTTTCATTTCCATTAACTGAGATCATCTGCTATCCTGAGAAATAGCTCATGGAAAATGAGAGATCCAGACCTTCCCCTCCAGCCCCGCACCAAAAAATCTGTTGCCATTAGATAGAATCTTTCACCAACCATAGGTTCCTATGACAGCATTGTAAGAAATACAATGTATTTTAGATAGATGCAACATTCTTTAGAATACACTATTCCTAAAAATCAGGTAAAGGCCAGATTTCCTTGACACGCCAATTATCACGTCATGTTCCATTTCTGTTATTTAGGTCAAAGGCAGGCCACCTGTGGAAGGCATGCTACCAAAGCAATTACTAATGGCCTCTGTTCTTCCATATAAGACTCAGCCCTGCTTTTCTGTCCATTATTTCTTCTTCTTCATCTTTCCTCTTCTATTCACTTATGGTATCTGTTCCCCTTTCTTTGCAATTTTCCCTATGGCCTTTGCCAACAATAAGCACAAGCTTTGTTTGAATCTGCTGGTAACACTGAAGGTGAAGGCTCATCTCCTGATGCAAGCTAAGCTACCAAGAATTTGCTAACATAGGCCCAGAGAAAATAAAATAGGTAACTTAATTTTGAAGATGTTTGTGAGATAAAGTACCAAATTACAACTCTAAAGGTCAAGGTTGATATAGAAAGTTATGATCTATGATGTAGAGGTAAGGCTGATTTTTTAGGTGGAACAAACTGGCTCTCATGCTAATTCCAAAAGAAAAAGTTCCCCCGATACTTTCAACATTGATCATTGGATTCAGAGGCATCTAGTGTACAATTTTAAGCAACCTAACATTCTGATATACGCAGTTGGTCTCATTAAAAGCATATATCTTCATTTGACAGTTATATCTATCTGAACTCTATATATTCCTTACATTCTGCAATTAAAATGCACTTGCTCACATTTCCATATAGCCATCTAATCACACGAGCCTGGTCTGCTTTCCAACAGGAGTTGAGGCAAGTAGATTCTTTTAACAACTTGGCCTCAGAGGTCTTCTGCCATAAAACCTTCATCTGTATTGTTTACAGAATAAAACCCAGAATGCACTACATAGGCCTGGATATCTCAGAAACATCTTTGAAGGATGACATGGTACTGTCACAAAAGAAAGTTGACATTTCCCAATCCATTCTAGTACTTCATTATATATTGATAAATTGTTCGAGCCAGATAATGCAACAGTCTTCATTCTGGACTGAGACACCATCTGCTCTTGACAAGTCAGAAAAAAATCATAGAAAGCCAGAAAGAATCCTGGTTGATTTTTAGCAGAAAACGATGCCTGGGACTGGGTGGCCAAAAGGAACTTGTCAATGAGAGAAAAATGTATACATACCTTCTGAAGACCATGCTATTCACCATAGTTAGAGTAACTTACCTTTCTGTGTTTTCTATGTGCAGTCTCATCCTGACCATTTTCTACCAGGAGTGGTTTGTATTTATGATATAGAGGATAAAGAAGCATTATGCCACCATTTAGGATAAAAAGATTTCCCAATGAATCCTATGCGGACAAAGTGGAGGGAAAATAAAGAGCATATAGCACAACTGCCCAGATATTCTGAATGGGTCCATAACTGCCTATTTCAGAGTGAAACAGTATTTCCAACTCATAAATATGGAAACAAAACTTTCAATAATACCAAGTACTTGAAAAGAACAACCTGATGCCAAAACTTTCTGCAGATAATGTGTCCTTTATGTTACAGATCTAGAGGCACTGCTTACATTAGATCAATGAGAATCAAAGATGTTTCTCTCTACACTGATATAATCCCCACTTGTTTCTCCAGATAGATCTTAAGAGACTGACAGAGCACATAGAGACAAAAAGCTAGGAGAAAAATGAGAAACAGAACAAGGGGCAACTATGCACATGAAAAAAAAAAAAGTTGAGAAATAAGGATTCAAGAAAAACCAAGTAAACACGATAGAGACGGCATTGTAATCAGTACCTGCTCCCACTTAGGCAACCACAAAGTGACTTTAGTATCTGCTCAGATAAACACCATGTATCTTTTTATAAAACAAAGAGGCCAACTAACTACGAGTTCAGATTGTAAAATAAACTCCTACCATTTAGAAAATCAGAAGATCAGCAGGATCCACTACGTCAGGGCTTTCAACAAATCTCTTTGTAATAGAGGTATTCAGAAAATTCAGGTTTTGGCTCATCTTTAAAAATAGCCATGTTAGGAAAGTAACACAACAAGGAAGTGGAGACACGGGTTATAAATTCCAACAGAACTGAAGTATCTCCACCATCATCTCTAGAATCACCTCCCTGAAACCAGTCTTCTAGAATTAAATCAGCTGATAGAAGTATTGCTAGTGGACAAAGATAACAACTGGCTCTCTTCCAATATGAACCAAATACGCAGATATATGCATATAAATATATGTACAAAATAGAAATGCATATATAAACAGAATGACCATGTACATACAAACCCAATAGATATCAATAAATTTAGCCAGAAGGAATTTCCAACATTTGAAAAACCCCTGAGAATGCTTTAAACATTTCTAGTTGGAAAAAATAATAAACTCTGAATGTCTTCATCATTTGGAAGATCTAAGAAGTTCTCTAAACGCAGAATTTTGAGAAAATAGTTACATTCCTTAAATAACCTCTAAATTCTAGACAATGCAAATGTGAGAGTCTCAAAATTGTTATCCAGATGACTTAGCTAATGGAAAGCTGAACTCCTTAGAACAAAAATATTGCTTGAACTGTTTTTTGTTTTTTTTTTTTGATTCTCAGCCACAGGCAATCTAATCTAAAGAAAAAACACAGGGAGTAAGCAAATGGGAAAACATCTAGTAATGTTGAGCAAGAAATGTCTCTTTGCTCATCCATTAAGAGCACCAGTCCCTTATTTTCCAAGTTTCTGGAGGAGGAATTTGCTTACAAGTCTTTCAGAAGAGCCATCCTTTTACATAATGTCTCTTAAGGTTTCTCCAAACCTCTAAACACTGATAAAACTCCCAAGTATGGAAAAGGTTGTACTCACGATCATTGCACTGGTTTCCAGAATATGACGTCATGGAGCAGTCGCAAGTGAAGCCTTCCCACTGCTGCATGCAGACCCCCTGGTTGGCACATGAATCTTCCTGGCAGGTGGTACTTGGTCCTAGTAATTCATAGGAAGACAGGGAGAGAAGAAAAAAGGAGAGAGAGAAGTGTTAACAATCAAACAAGTTCAAAGCAAGCACTCGACTTTGCTACTCCCATGCCCCAAAACATTCAAAAACACAACTGCCGGGAAGAATGAAGGGGGGGACATCGGAGGGGGAGACGAACCATGAGAGACGATGGACTCTGAAAAACAAACTGAGGGTTCCAGAGGGGAAGGGGGTGGGAGGATGGGTTGGCCTGGTGATGGGTATTAAAGAGGGCACGTTCTGCATGGAGCACTGGGTGTTATGCACAAACAATGAATCGTGGAACACTACATCTAAAACTAATGATGTAATGTATGGGGATTAACATAACAATAAAAAATAAAAAAAACACAACTGCCAAAAATGTCAATTCTAGATCATGCAACAAGAATCAGTATATACAAAAGACTACAGAAATGCACACTTAGCCACAAACTATCAATAGTTACACACAGAAGGGAGAGGGCTGAACACATTGTTCTCTCTTAGGCAGACTTTGCAAAAGAGCTTCACCTCTACAATCCAACTAGAAAGTCACGTCATTTGGAATATGGTCTTTCTAAACGTATAATGGTAAAGCAGAAGAATTTATTCCCACGATTCTTATGACTTAAGGCATAAAAATCCCTAAAGTTTACTTTATGACATTAAAAAGATGTTTGATGATATGAAGAGGAAGAGGAAGAGAAGCATATAGCAGCCAACATGTCTTGGTATTTTGTAGGTGGTAAGTCCTGGGTACTAAGCACTTTGTCTACATTATCTCATTATGATCTCCAGTGACACTAAGAGGTAAGTAATTATGATCACCCATTTAACAGATTAAAAGAAAAAGGAAAAAAAAGTAAGCTCATACAAGTAAAATAATTTACCCAAGGTCACACATTTGGTAACGGAAGGACTCCGATATCCAACTTAGGTAAACTACTTCTGAGACTCAAGCTCTTAACTACATCAGTGGTTCTTAAAGTGTTAGTTCTCAGACCGACATCAGAAATGTTGTCAGAAATGCAAATGATGGGGCCCCAGACCTATGGAATTAGAAACTTCAGAAAGAGGTATAAATGTGTGTTTTCACAAGCTTCCAGGAAATTGGGATGCAGTCTAAAGTTTGAAAACCAGTATATTGCACCATGTGCTGGTGCTATCGGTCTACAGAAGGGTATATTCAAAAGCAGCATCCATATGCCAGAGGATGCAAAAGAGGATTATTTGAGGGATAGGAAGAAAATATTAGAAATTACATTCATTCAAAATTTTTTTCTTTATTACTTCTATTTTTGTTTGTCTTTCATAAACAACTAATATATAAGTACATCAGTACTCGTATCTGACATATAAATAATTACATTTATTTGGGGGGCATTCTCACAATCTTTTCTGGAGAATGAGTAAGCAATTGATAAAGTTTTGTGATCTCTACCTTACAGATTGTCATTAAAATCTCTCTTAGGTTGGCCTGGGTTCTCTCTTTAACCATTCACTCTTCTTCATTTCTATTTTCTGCCTTAACCTTATCTTTATTAAAGATAAACCTGCACCTTTGAAATTATCTGAGCTAACAGGAAATATCTTAATATTCAGGGTAACTCCCAAGAGAGTCAGCAAAGGAGGCGAGCCCTTTGACTCGTCAGATATATTACTCAGGATCTGATGCAAAAGAGCACATGACAGGGTAAAAATATATCCATTGCAATAAGTGCATATTTCACCGTTTCCAAAACAAAGCCTCACATAGGCACAGAATATTGAAATGCATGCATGCAGAGTCCTAAGGATGCATGTTCAAAAGAGATACATGACTACAAAGGGTTTGTCTTCTGGGTGGCGAGACATTTTGTATTTATTCATGAGGGGTAGAAGCAATACAGACCATCATTTCTAATACAAAGCTATTAGGATATGACATAAGAAAGTTCGAGACAATTACTACCACCGGGGGGCAGCACTGGTGCTGGGTCTCTGCAGCTTCTATATGCCGTGTGGTTCCCCCATATGGAGATGAAATGAGGTTCATGGTCATGTTCTCAGTAGGTCTTAAACTTGAGCATTGTGTAGTGCAATTTTCATTAACAATGGCAAATCAGGACAGCTTCTCTCAAAGGATAAAAGTTTCTGAGAAGTCCACAGGGCTCCCTGACCAAACAGCTCTTACCAGACAATGGACTAGTAATTCAATTGTACTCAAGAATCAGAAACACATGGAAGGCTTTCCTTTGAAAGGCAGAACAGCAAAAACTTTGGGAAAACACAGTAATTCCTTGAATGTTGATTGAATCTGAAGACAAAGGCTTTTCCATGCTTTTCCCTTCCCCTCTAACTAGCCAAATTTTCACCATTTTTCAAGGACCGGCTTGAAGGCCTCCCTGGTATAAAACATTCCCTAGTAACTTCGAACAATTCTCCCACTTCTTAGTGGCTATGGCACTTATTATCTGCATCATTAACATTTACATATGATAATGCTCAATTTAATACTTTATTACACACTGTGCTGTCCTCTGCTTATATAATCCTCTAATTGTTTCATATGTTTTTTTAGTATTTGTCCCCAAAAGATTGAATGCTGCCTGCTGCTAAAAATCATAATATGCTTTGACTATATCCTTGCTGGGTTAAGTGCACAGTGCCACATACAGAGAACGTGTTTCAGTCAATGTTGAGCTGATCTGAACTGCAGCCCCTTGATCTGCCTATGTCTCCTACTGTCGAAACCTGAGCATGGGTGACTATCCGTGCTGTGCAAAGTGAGTGATCTGTCCTATTCATCAAAGGTTGGTCAGGACTCTAAAACAGAGGGAATTACAGGTTATTTTCAAATTCCACGGAATTTGTTGCACATGAATTAGGGGGCGAGTGCCATGCAGAATCAGATAATCCTCAAAGACTACAAAGACTACGTTATAATCACCTCAGAACAAGAGCAGTTGCAGTGAGGGAGGGCTGAAAGAACCTGCAATGACTCCTCATTGACCTGAGACTAAACTTGCACTTGCCATTGAGGCTGAAATCCTAGGGCCACTGCCCCCTCCTCCAGCTCACTTCCCACTATTGGCCCCCAGCTCACAGTGCTCCAGTCATCCCTTCATCCTTTCACTCCCTCCCTACCCCAGTGGTGCTCACAGGGTGGGTCCCCAGTCATTAGCACCTGCATCACCTGGGAGCTCTTGACAAATGTGCCTTTTCAGGCTCTGCCCAGACCTACTGGCTGTGGGCAGGTCTCAGGAATCTGAGTTGTGACAAGCCCTCTGGGTGGTTCTGAGGCCTGCTCACATTCTAGGACCTCTGCTCTTACATTTCAAGACCATCCCTACCTTCAAGGTCCTCTGCTCTTGCTCTACCTACAGCCTGAAATGTTCTTTCTGCAGATTTTCAAATGACCGGTCCATTCTTATTCTGTTTAAGTTTCAGGCTTAAGATGGGCTTTCTTCAGACTCTCCTATTTCAGGAAGTCCCCATCAGCATTTCATGTGTTCTCCATCACATCTCCCTCTTTATTTAACTCAACAATTGTACTGCCTATAACTAAATCATTTATTAAAACTTTTTTTTTAAAGATTTTATTTATTTATTTATTTGACAGAGAGAGACACAGAGAGAGAGGGAACACAAGCAGGGGGAGTGGGAGAGGGAGAAGTAGGCTTCCCGCTGAGGAGGGATCCCGATGCGGGGCTCCCAGGACCCTAGGATCATGACCCGAGCCGAAAGCAGACACTTAACCACTGAGCCACCCAGGTGCCCCCATTTATTAAAACTTTTATCGTTTGTCTCATCCTACTGGAATATAAGCCCCATGAGGGCAGAAGTCTTGTGTGTTTTGCTCAACTTGATATCTCTAATTTCTGATAAAGTATTTGGTACAAAGTAAGAGCTCAGAAATATTGTTAAATGAAGAAAGAAGAAGAGAACCAAAATTAAAAGAAAAACAAATGAATCATTCTTTTATGACTTAAAGCCAAGTGGTTTTCCAAACTAATAATTTACCCATAAAATTCACCAATATCACTTCATACAAGCAATTTTCTACTTGGAATCACTTTTTGGGGGGAGGTAGTGGTGGTGGTGGGATTTAATTGGCCACATTTCCTCTCCTAATTTAACTATTAGATTAATTCAATCTTACCAGAGAGTGAGACAAGGACTCTTTTGTGTCCCCAATGTCCAGGGACAGGTATGAACTGTGGAATGAATAAGAGTTTGGACTAGAGTCTAAAAAACTTTCTAGATGGTAATATAAGCTCGTGTTCTTACTTCAAACTACTTAAGTACATCCTTTCCTGAACAGATTATATTTTATATTTGTTTCTATTTCTCATAGATAGCAGTGTCTCCAAAATTAGAGAGAGAAAGAAATTAGAGAAACATTCCAAACTGCCCTGATAAAGAAAATCTCCAACAATGCTTTTAAATGTGCCTCATTGATATAAAATGATCCTGTACAAAGAGAATATAACAATAACAAAACAAGGGATTTACATAGGATATAACAATAACAAAACAAGGGATTTACAGACACGGTACTAAGTGCATTTCAGATATTAACTCAATTAATCTTTATAAACACATGAGGAAGCAATGATAATTAAAAGTATTAAAGAATCAGAAAACAGGAATAATTTTCTCGAGGAAGAACGTTAAAATAATCCAGAACTTCAAAAATAAAGGAATTTTTTGACTGGTGATCAAGTTGGAAGGCAAGGATTTCAGAGAAGGAAACTGAGTCACGGAGTTAGGTGATATTTTTTGTGAGGCCCCCAGTAACAAGTAGTAGGGTGAGATCTCAAACCCAAGCTTGCTAACTCAACAGCTGAGCCACCTAACTTCTATGGATATAGGTAAGCCATACAGTGAATGTGTGTGTGTGTGTGTGTGTGTGTGTGAGAGAGAGAGAGAGAGTGTGTGTGTGTGTGTGTGTGTGTTACCATTGGCTTAGCAAGAGAAACTTAAATAAGGTATCTCTAATCTATAA